TTTTTTTTTCCTGTTTGCAATTTAATTCGTACGTTCGAGCAGAAACTCGCGCTCAGGTGAACGGGTCGGGAGAAGTTTATAAATAGAACGCGCAAATTTAACATTTGCCGATTAAACGAAAGTGTCCGTTCCGTTGGTTTTTTTCAGAGAAATCAACGGGAAATCGTGCAAATTAATTGCTTGCGTTCGAACGGCAGGTAATGTAAAAAGAAAAAAAGATCAACGCGGTATATTAAAAGAGAGCGGGGAAAGGGGGTTTCGATGTAATTCGTTCGCGGAGTGAATCGAGCTCCAATGCAGATATTTTTGTCGTTTGTGGTCGCTGGTGGTCGTTGTTGGCACAATTCTTTTCATTTTCGAAAAATCATCATTTTCGGATGACACGTCGTTGTCGCAGTTGCTTAGAAATGCTATCTTATTCGTGTTACCGAGTCGTCTGTAATGCAGATTGAACATTAGTACACGTTAGTAATACGAAAGTGTCATTTTGTACATGTATTTAATAAAAATCACCTCGTTGAACATTCTACGAGTATCTTTTCACGTATCAAATAAACATTGAAATCCATCATCTCTTCTGTCATCCCATTTGTACAAATATTTCGTTTCATCATACAAACACCTCCTATTAATTTAATTAATATCGAAAATTCTACCGTACATTCGGAACTAACTTCAAACGAACAAAGAACGAATTTGCAACGCGTTTGCCACTCCCTCTGAGTTCGACGTCGTGCATCAGTGGAAGTTTCAACCGGCCGCCTCGTATTTCTTGTGGCCTACATAATATCACAGGGCCTTTGTTGCCTGTCTGCGGACGCTATATTTCTGCAAGCGTAACATATCCATCTTACTAATAGCGCCATGGTCAGACTGCACGTAATTCGAGGTAGTCATCCCCTACTGTTACATACATAGTACGCGTATGTACGCGCGGCGTACATGGCCGCGTATGTACGCGGTCTATCTACGTTGAATAGATCGGAGAGGGCAAGGCGCATAGGTAGTAGCATCGAGTGTGATACCGAAACTACATAACCCATCCAAGCCGGCTGACTTGGCCGACAATCGCTATTTAGGAGAGCCGCTTATCTCAGCCAGTCTTAGCTGTGTGCTAATGTCTCGTGGCCGAATCTCCGCTCGCACGCACACGCAATAACGTACACAGAGTCTTGGATATGGGATGATTTAAAAAATGTTAGGAGGAGTAGTTGTAAGATGGGGATAGTTACAGGTAAGAAATTACGGGGGTAGTTATAAGATCAAGAGAAAAATTTTATTAACAAATATATCAGAAGATTAGATTTAGGACGGTTTCTTGAAATATTAGACATGACAAACGTGATGTGTTAGATTTGTGGAAATGCTTGTCTTGAATATGTCGAACAGCGAGCACTGTGCGTGGGTAAAAAATTTATTGGTAAGATCACACAAAGATAAGAAAAGAATAGTTATAGATTATGAGTTAGAGGGATAGTTATAAGATGGAAAGAAGAGTTTTATTTAAATAATATATCAGAAGATTAGATTTGTGAAGGTTAGATTCCTGAAATATTAGACATGACAAACGTGTTAGATTTGTTAGATGTGTTAGATTTGTGGAAATGCTAATCTTGAATATGTCTAACAGCGAGCACTGTGCGTGGGTAAAAAATTTATTGGTAAGATCACACAAAGATAAGAAAAGAATAGTTATAGATTATGAGTTAGAGAGATAATTATAAGATGGGAAGAAGAATTTTATTTAAATAATATATCAGAAGATTAGATTTGTGAAGGTTAGATCCCTGAAGTATTAGACACGTGAGATGTTAGATTTGTGAAAATCCAGGATTCGTAGAACAAGGAATGAGATAATTTAGAGATGAGGTGAGATAACCATGATTTAACATTTAACCCACTTGGGCTACGGTGAGTTGCCTTTCTTAGAATAATGTTTATTAGGTAAAGATAGAGGAAGAGGGAGACTGTGTTGAAGAGAAAATCAGCTGTTGAAGAGGATAAAGTCAGTCGAATGGAAAATAACATAGAATGGAATAGGACAGCGTAGATTACGTGGGTTAGTATTCTTAATGTAAGTGTAATATCGTTTCACACTGCTTTCTAACATGAAAACACACAGATTTTGTTAACTAATCCTCTCATGAAGCAATTACTTGAATTTATAAATATTCTCTTATTTACACGCACGCCGTTGTAAACACGTCTGACACAACACGATTATTCCACTTCGAGATGTACCGTTTCTCTTTTCATTTGCCTATTCTACTGGAATTCTACTTAAATTTACAATTTTATTTAGAGATAATAAGCCTCTTTCGTTCTTCGTCTGTAGCGAACATGTAAGCAACAAATTTAATTTAATTTAATTTAATCATTGTTCATAATTGTGCCATGAAAAAAGATTGTATTATAATATAAATCCATCAGAATTGCATACATATTATTGATATCGTTTCCAGTCACTGAACAATAGTGGAAAAGATATTAAGAAAAAAAGAAAAAATATGGAGGAGTAGTGAGAGGTGAACGTGATAAGAACGAGTAAGAAAGTTATGGGGGATGTTGGAAGAAGTTTGGGGTTAGCGAGGGTGAAATGACAACGTGAAAGGGGACAAGGAGAAAAGTGACCAATGGAACAGGAAATGTGGATAAGGAAACGTAAAATTAGAGGGGTGAGAATGGAAAATGAAGAATAAAGAGAAATGGTTGAAAGGTTATAGTAAAAGTAACGATATAAAAAAATGGAGAACCAAACAGTGTACAATAAACTGGGAATGAAAGACAAACGAGTTAATGAAAGAAATAAAGATTTGACAATAATTGACAAGCTTCGCAAAGATGCTAGAATAATTGGGGATAAAATTGCAACAGATAAAAATTGACGTCGAACGAAAACGAGATAAAAATTCATAAAAAGTGAGTGGAAGGCGAAAGGAATTCATAAAAGGAACACGAAGGATGCAGCACGAAACTCGGGGCTACAAGTAGCTGAAATTTAAACTCGCGTGGAAAAACAAGTAGGAAGAAGTTAGCGAAACTGCAGACGAAAAAGAGAGAATTAAGACTGTTGAAAACGGAACCAACGAGAGCAAGAAACCAACAAGCAGCATGCTACAATAAAAAAAAAAAAAAAAAAAAAAAAGAAAGTAACGAATAAAGAGCAAACTTAAAAGGAAAACGTACGATCGCGAAGAAGAAATCAACAAAGCGACGGGAAACGAAACAACGGGAAACAATGAGGGGAATAAAAGGGGAATGAAAAAAGGAAGGAAACTAGCAGGAGGACGATCTGCTCCGTGAGAGAGATAATCACGTATTCACGAAACCATGTTAAAGATTTTCCGCACGTGGATCGAGGGATTTTCACGAAACGACTGCGAATGTTTAGGATAACTACGGTCATTAATGTTGCTCGGGCTTATCTAAGGAACGAGCACGAGCTTAAACCGCGCAGGGCAAGAACAGCGAGATCGTATCTCCGCCAGTCATCTAGAACAGGCCGCTGAAAATCCCGGAATTAGCATAATTATCGTTACGGTAAAACCGTTCGCCTACTCGCCAGCGGGAATATCACGAAACCCTTGGGCGTTAGCTCGTTCATCGATGATGCGCGGTAGTTGTTAAACGTAATCCCAAATACGCGTTTATTTGAATACTTTGCTTTTTTCGTCGAAGTGTGCAACCATTTCTTGATAATTTCAATTTCGATTATTCCGTTAGTCGAGAAATCTAACTAGATTGGATGAGACTAGATAATTCGCAGATAAAATGATCAAATTCGTAGAACAAGTTTCAAGTAATATAATTTCCTTGAAAACAATATTAATCAATATTTTTATTCTACAATTCATTGTGTTAGAATCGAGCGAGATATTGGTGTCTTCCTCTTCAATTTCTCCGTTTATAGGATATATTAAAATTATTTATATATTAAAAAGTTAGAAATTCCGGATTTAGCGCACAATTTGGCCGACGAAAATATCGCGAAACATTCTCGCAGTTATTAAAGATAATCCGAGTCCACGAGGCCACGTTTATTGAAAAACCTCGAGGCCAATTATCGTGGCGCGAGATACGAATAATAAGAACAAGGGAAAAGAAAGAAATTTCTCGTTATATTTCTGCTATATATAAAAGCAGATAGTTTCCTCTGCGGATGATCTCTGCAATCCATTATCTATCTCACTTTAAATGATTCACCGAGCGTGCTTTGCATTTATCTTGGAGACGACATAATTAATTTAACGCAACGCGGCCGAGATAATTTCCACGATTGAAAAACTTCGCGATGAAAGCTTTCGAATGCGAAACAACGTCCACAGAGATCATGATTTAGCCTCAGCCTTCGTATCGAGAGTAATTTGCAACGATTGCGACAAAATCACCACTGAAGTTAATCATTCACGAAAACAAACTCGGCACGGTAAGCCAACAAAGAGATATAAATTACTCTCGCGTCTCGATTATTTAAATGTTTTGTATGAAATATCAACATGTCGGTTAAATACAGGATGTCAAACATATAGGACAGATATGGGATGGCATGAGTTTCCAAATTTTATTAATCGTAATTTAAAGTCAAATGTTTATCAGTAGAATTAAAATAGGGTAATAACGCATTCATATATATATGTGTGTGTGTGTGTGTGTTAAGCAAATATGAGAAATCTAATATAAAAAACCAATAACTGTCAAATCAAAAACTTAATAATCGAATATAAAAATCACGATAGTATTAAGAAAATTACTAAATTGTCTACAACTAGTTTCAACAACTATTTATCTATTTATCTCAAGGATTACAAAATTGTACAAAATTTATTAATTAATTACTATATCTTACTAATCATTTATCTATTTATCTCGTACAGTTTTTAAGGATTACGAAATTGTACAAAATTTATTAATTCACAAGTCGTTGCGTGTAACAAACAACTGGTATAGTTGTATCAAGCATTCTTTTAAATCTGTAACAATTGTATTCACACAATACAACTGATACAATGAAATGTATGTAATTGTATGTTATTTAATTATGTATGTTAACGTGTTAATTATGTATATTAATATAATTTATTAGCATAATTGCCAGGCTAATAACCTAAGTTGTTGAAGCAACGTTGATATAAATAAATAATAAACGAAAGCATAAATCTGGTTTCTATTATACGCATTCGCAGACGGGAAGTTCCACCTGCTGCCAACCGGTGAACTTCTGGTCCACAGTCTGGAGTTTAGCGATCAAATACACGGCTACAGATGTCGAACGATGCATCGTCTCACTAGACAGGTGGTAGTGAGCTCTGTGGCCAACGTAAGGATAGCAGGTAGTAATTTTCACTCTGGTTGACAAGTCGATTTTTCTTATCGCTCGGGAAATTGCCGAGGTTTTTCTCAATTACCCGCCGCATTAATCGACCCTCCATCGAGCGACTTTTTTCTTCTCTTCTTTTTTTGCACACAGATCACAGAGGGGTGATGCCGCCGGTGATTCTTGAAAACTCCGGCGTTGTTCACGTCGCTCAAGATGAATCAACGTCGTTAGTCTGCGTGGCGCAGGCTTGCCCTACTCCCGAGTATCGGTGAGTTTTTTTTCTCTCATCTCGATGGATTAATCTTTCGTTGATGTAAAAAGTTGCAACAGCGACTGTGAATTTCATTTTAAAAGAGAGTTTCCAATTGCGTTAACCACGCTGTGATTTTTCATATTTTTACCATTCATTTCAATTTCGCCCTCACGTTTACGTTATTTAACGTAAGACTGAAATTAATTTGTAGATTTAGGTAGAATAGGTCCTTTGTCTCAAACTCAGTAGTAGTAATCAGTCATTAATTTTCTGGCTGTTAAAAACTATTTTTATTTCAAAGTACTTTGTTTCCATAATGATAGAGATTTATGTGTTTGTTCATTTATATCTATATATGCTTAGAAATTTTAGCAGAAAATAGCTTTACCAAAGATCAGTTGATTAGTACCGTGTCCGATACAAATGACCTATTCTACTAATGCGACATATCATCGAAGGAACGTTCTTTTTCTTTTGGAAAATGCAACACAGTTTTTGACTTTTTCTACCATTGTAACGAAAAGATAATTCAATCTTTTTGAGAGACAATTTCTCCTAGTTGACGTATGAATATCAATAAATATATTAGTTTTCGATACCTAACGTATTCATATAAGGTAAGTTAAATATTAAAAATTGTTGATGATCGATCAATGACATTTTAGAATGTTAAAAGTTCTCGGACAATTGTCTGTCAGAAACGGAACAGAAGACGCGACCCAATTAATTAAGGTTATATAACTTTTTGCTTGCGGATGATTAACTGGTTGGCAAGTATAAATTAAACCGATCATAATACGTCCAAATAATCATGGGAATAATTACACGTAATCGAAAACCGATACGATGCTTGTTGGTAAATTTAATGTTATTATTATTGCAAACGATGTAAACGAATTTAACGCTGTAATTACGGGGCACCGGTCGTTTGCGAGTTCAAAGTAGCGGAAACGAAGCGTCCATGAAACGGAAACGCGAATTCTCGCGTAAATTGAGTGTAGCAATATGATTTCAGTTCCGAGGCAAGATGTGGAAATTTATCAACCGTTTGTTCGCTTTTAAGACTTTTTAATTTCTATCTGGCGCGTTCAGTCTCTGTTATTTCAACGAAAAGGAAGAAAAGAAAATCGTTTAGAATGCGAAGGGGGAACAGAAAGAGAGGGATACAGAGGGAAAAGAAAGAAAGGAACAGTGAAATGGACAGAGAACGAGGAAGAAGGGTCTTTTTACAAATTTCCAATTAATAAAATAACATAATATTGAATTAATAATTACAATTTTTAATGTGTTTTTCTACATAATTTTTATGCAAAAATTGGCACTGCAGTATAAATTAATTAATTAATTAATTTGAGAGCCACGCTCTAGGAAATCTCAAGAGAAGAGGATAAAAATGATTGTTGGTAATTTTACAACCAATATATATTCGTCACGTCAAAAATATTAAAATCTCATGTACACCGTATAATCATATAATAAAACTTCCATACGTTCCATCATTCAGAGATCTTTCATCTCTGTTAATAATCTCAAAAAAAACAATAAATCAACGTACGACGATACGAAACACTACAATCATTTGTTTCGTTTGCCTTCTTCAAAAACTAGCTACACACACTGAGAAGAACAAGCTTAAAACCTTTTTAAAGCCTTCTCAACAAACAAGGTGCTGCCACTCGTACGAGTCATGTCGATAAGATGACAAAAGAGAAAGAAACGCAAAGAGACAACACACACGCTGCAGCTCGTCCTCTTTAGCCTAAAAGAAAATTACGAACGTATAATAGTTTCTTGGCCTCGAAACCCCTTGGGGGATCGAAACAAGAATAGACGAGCAGACAGCGAGGAGGCATCGAAGTCAGGAATATTCGAGGGTAGGAGGGTAAGTAAAGGAATAAGGACTAGGCAGGACTTTGATCGAGGAAAAGTGGGAGCACTCGAACGTGAAGCCTCGCGAACGAAGCACAATCGGAAACTCTCCATGTCGCTCGCCGG